AAAAAAAAAAAAAAAAGCAAAAAAAAAAAAAAACTAGAAAAGTTTTGTCTTTCATCCAAAAGACTTCCTCAGTCTGAGGTGCTGTATTCAGCTCAGTCTCTTAAATAGCACCTTCTCAGAGTGGATCAACCAGTTTGATGCTGACAACCAAAACCAGCTGCTCACATGATCAAGAAGGACCATCAGCCTAACAATGGGTCATTAGCACACTGATGGCTGTTTACTATTCACAGAGGGCTGAGTGATACTAGCAATCACAGCATTGTAAGAGGGGGACAGTTGAACACGGAGGCCTCCACCCCTGTTTAATGATGGATGGTTTCTTTTCACAAAGATGGCCTCCTTTACTCCTCTCTCAAACCATCGTTCCTCTCAATCCCGGATGTGAACGTCTTCATCCCTGAAAGAGTTAGGATATCCACATTGCTCTAGAGCCTGTCTTGTGTAGGATTTCTCCTTCTGCCTGGCTCCTGAGTTAGTGGGGACGCTGTCTGCTCTGTGATACAGAGTCCTGATGACTCCTAACTTGTGCTTCAAAAGGTGATGGGAGTCAAACTGCAAATACTGGTCTGTGTGGGTGGGTTTGCGGTACACCTCAGTTTGCAAATGTCCTCTATCAGAGACTGAGACCTCACAGTCCAAGAAAGCCAACCCGCCATTTTTTACATCTTCTCGTGTGAACTTGATGTATTTATCCACAGATTTGATGTGGTCAGTAAAATGTTGGACTTCCTGAGATTTAATTTTAACCCATGTGTCATCAACATACCTGAACCAATGACTCTAGGCTCTAGAGCAATGTGGATATCCTAACTGGGCCTAGGGCTGGGCGATATGAGGAAAATCTAATATCCCGGTATTATTTTGCTATATCACGATACACGATATATATCACGATATTTATAAATAATCTCCAGTGTTACTTTAAACTAGTATTTAAAATTGCACTGGTGTACTCTATTCAAACAGACCATTTATGTTTTTTTTTTAATTGAATACAAAATCAGAATAAGTTTAAAATGTTTTATTGTAACCATCAGTTGCACACAAATCATCTTCTTCAGTAATGAAATTAGTACCACCGTCTCTTACTGTGGTCAACACTATACCTTTAATAAACAAGACCTTAGAAGCAAAAAAAGTACACCAAGCACAAATCCACAATGAAAAATAAACCAGCTGGCTGAAAACAATGGTGCTCGTTAGTGCTTTTTGCATAAAAATTGTAAAATCAAAAAACCTGATGAGTCCAGATTTACAAAAATAAAAGTTTAAATAGTGACTATATAAATCAACTGACCCAGAACAGCCACAGGTATCAGAGCTTCTCTAATCAATTTGCATATGCTGGAAATTTTGAGAAGGTCATGTTTGTTAGCTGCTGGCCTACGTTTTCTCTTACTGAAACGTACAACTCTGGCAGCGCTTTTTCTGCAAAGAACTTGCGACCTGACAAGTCGTATTTTGCATCAAGAGTCTTAATAAGATTTTTGAATTCAGGCTTTTCCACAACACTGACAGGAGCCATGTCTTTGGGGATATATTTTGTTACTGCGTCAGTGATTTCTCTCCACTTTGTACTTTTTCTGTCATACGGGATGGTTTTGGTAAACGAAGAAGCTAGTGTCATCTGCTTCACAGCTGTATTATTTAACATTTTCTTTGTTGTGTGGGGAGACGTGGACATACGGAGTTTACAACATTCTTCATTTTGCAGTGGACGACTTCTTAGGTGGTGAAATAAAATTGTGGTACTGCTTCCTTTTGTGGCAATGGTTTTACGACACGTTTTGCAAATTACCGCATTTTGTTCGACATCCTCCTTGTAAAATCCAAACCACTGCCAGATTATTGATCCAGTGCTGTTTCTCTTCGGAACTAGTTCATCGGACTCTTCAATTATC